TTTTTCGATAAATATAACCTTTTATTTTACCGCCATAGAGTTATAGTGAAAATTTTCATCAAAAAGTAATAGAATTAGCAGAAAGAACAGGAAGCAGACCTGCAGCTAGAGAATAGGAGTTGAATGAGGCTAAAATACGTTTATGGAGAAAGAATAAAAATGAACTAAAATAGTGTAAATCAAGTGGCAAAGCTATAGGCAGAGGAAAAAAAACTCAATATCCAGATATGAAACAAAGTTTAGCTGAATTTGTGAAAGGAAGACGATCAAGTGGATGTTAAATAAGAGAGAGAGAGAGAGAGAGAGAGAGAGAGGATTACAGCTTTACTTACAGAGACTTGTACATATACTTTCTACTAACCCGCATTCCTGGACTACTAATCTTCACTTCAAGTCTGTATTCTTACGTTTAATACACTTATTTTTCTATCTCAATTACTGGCGTTGTTTATTTATTTGTACAGGATTCCATCCACGGAATCCACAACACTTCCCAACCCTAAATAACTTTAAAAAATAAGAAGCGAGAAAGACTACACTCAACATAGGAAGAAATGAGGGTCTGCTTATCACACATTCGACCAAACATTGAAGAAATCGCAAGAAAAAAAAAACACAAATAAAAAAAACAAAAAAAACAGGCACAGGTTTAATACTAAGCTCAAGTAGTTGAATAGAAAAATTGAAATAAAATAAGTTCACATTTATGTTTTTATTTTTTCGTATTCTACGGTTTTATTTCATAACATTTAAATGTATAGCTTTTAAGAATTTTGCTAAATGTTCAGTGATATTTTCCTTCTCTCCTGGGTGTGCCGTTACTTAAAAACATTAAGAAATACTGATTTAGAGCAGAGTTTCTCAACCAGGTTTCCCCAGAACCCTAAGGTTCCGCAAAATGTTCCGCAAAAGGTTCCGCAAAAGGTTCCTAAGGTTTCCGCGAGATGAACAGTATGAATTTTGTTTAGCACTACAAATTATCGAAGAAGTATTAATTTTTTAACCAGTTATTCAAAAATATATACTATCAAAAATATTGTTGTGGTAGGATCCACCTAATTTGCATAGTGGAGTACCGACCATATAAATATGGTTGGTACCGGGAAGAGAGGGAGGAATCAAGAGATTCAACCAGAGACTCTGCCCGACTGCGACTCAGTCAACCCATTCTCCAGGAACGGTCTTACCAGGAATATACAAAAGACTATGTGTAAATATTGTGTACATTTTCTTGCTTCAATACATTTTGTTCTAAGTACATTTTGTGTTGCATTATTATTCCATGCACTAGTCAAGTATCAACAAATATATACTATGATATTTACCATGTTTAGTAGGAGCGGCGGGGGCCTTTCTGCTCTTGACTAGTATGTCATTGCCATACAAACAAAAACGGAAAAAAAAGGGAATAATGTAAATAATACGTAGCGCCAGTATGTCATGGACGCATGGTGACTGTGTTGTTGCATGAGAAAGACTTCTTTTTATTTGAGAAATTTCTTTCCAATATTAGGGTGCGTCTTGTACGCCGAAAAATACGGTAATCTAGCCCGACTTGGTATTTCGGCTTCAGTCACTTTCCCACCGTCGAGACATGACTTCTCTGCCTCTCTCTCTCTCTGTCTCTCTCTCTTTTATAGCAATTGTTCTGATGAGTTTTCCTCCTTGCGACATCGACTGTAGAAATTTAAGCGTGTTACTAGATCGGCAGTTAGGTCTCACCGTCATATTGTTAAATTAGGTAGATGCAACCGTATGTCATATTCTAATAGTTTCTTTTTTATTGCACTTCTTGCCGGTGGAACCCCTTTCAGATTTCTTGCTTCTCTGCACATCTACAATCTCTAAAACATTTAAATGCAAACCCGATCACCATTTTCTCTCTTTCTGAATTCTGTTCTTTTATTTGCCTTTCTTCTCACTAAAGTTTTCTCTTTCATTCCCAGTAACCACTTTGCGTCGCAGTGGCATTATCGCCTTGTAAGGGTGAAAACGATTTTTTAAAAAAATCGAAACCTGTACAGATCCGCCATACTGCTTCCACAGTCAAACCGTTCACACATCCTTCGTATTCCAAGGAAATCTCACTGAGACAGCTTTTCTCAAGAACTGCTGCCTTGTGGAAAAGACTCTCCTGTGGATGCTTTCTCGAACGCTACAATCGTCAATGTTCTTATTCAAGTAAAGAGTTAATCGTTACCTGTCGTCCATATTCACCATATCACAGGCCTTATACAAGACTCATCCTAGAGAGACTGAAGACGGCATTTGACAAGACATTTCTGAAAGAACAGGCAGACTTTCGGCAAGACAGATCATACACAAACCACATCGTAACAATGCGTATCATCATCGAACAGTCCCTGGAATGGCAGACCCCCGTGTACTTAGATTTTCGTCGACTTTCAGAAAGCTTTTGATAGTGTCGACAGAGACATCATCTGGAGACTGATGCGGCACTTTGGGCATTCCACCAAAGTTCGTTACCATCATCCAACAATGTAACTATCTGGGAAGAATTTTTTTTTTTTACAAATAATGGAAAACGTGATAGGGGAATCCAAACTCAAATTCGAATAGCAAAAGATGCCTTGCAAAAGCTATTTGCTAAGTAATAGATGATACATTTTTATATATATATATATATATATATATATATATATATATATATTATAAATTAATTGATTTAAAATATGGTTTTTTTTTCAAACAGTTCCAACCATGTTTCAAAAATAAAAGTTAAAACCCCGAATTTAATTTTGCAATTAAATTAAAAGCATTAGTTCCATTTCATCTTCAAGCGAATTTTGGAGTAACTTTTAAAAATTACCGGGTTTTAAAGACACAGCTAAAATCACGTTTCCATGGTTACAGAATATTCTACTTTAATTGAACAAGGGATGTCTAGATTTTCCTTATGTCAGTATCATTGTATCAGTTATTAGCTATGGATTCTTTCTTTATATATATATATATATATATATATATATATATATATAGGTAACTAAATTTATTGAAATAAGTCAAAATGACTTAACTCCCTTTATAGTCTACCGATAGAAGGTTGACCAATCAGAAGCCGCAGAACACTGCCAACCTCTGGATTCTATACTCGAGGACGACCGTCAAAATGTCTAACACTAGAAACAGGAAAATTTCGTTAAAAACAAAGAAAGCACAATTGAAGTGCTATTCAATATCAATCCTCTTGTATGGAAGTGGATACTGGACAGTCTTCTCCACTACATATAACCTATTTTGTCGTCTATACATAAGGATATATGAGAATACCAAGGATGGAGAATGCCATCTGTCAAGTCATCCATGATGGGAAGCTGATGGAACCATTCTCTATGCCAACCGGCGTTCGACAGTATTATTTTCTTAGTGTTTGTCGACTGGATAATGCAACAGGCCACGGCAGGCAGGATAACTGGTTTACAGCGGATCTTCATGAAGCAGCTGGAAGATCCGGACTACGCAGACAACAGTAGCCTTCTCTCCCACAAACAATATGTGCTGTAGAAGCTGAGCTGTGTAGCAGAAGAAGCGGTAAAGAATGGCCTCCAAATCAACATCAGGAAAACGGAGGACATGAAGGTAAACAACAGACAAGACCCAGTACGACTGCACCAAGAAGACATCAAGGAAGTCGATAAGTTTGTCTGCCTAGGAAGCGTTGTCACTAAAGATCGGGGTGGGGCGATGAAGACATCAAGTGGCGAATCAGCAAAGCCCGACGTGCTTTCAAGACTCTACGGCCAATCTGGAGATCAACAGCCCTCTTACTTTACATGATCCGGATCTTCAACACCAACGTCAGGTCGGTCCTAATTTACGGCTCAAAAACCTGGTGGGTAACTAAGACCAACCCCCACAAACTTGAGACATTTATCAACCGATATCTCAGGAGGATCCTCAATATCGGGTGTCCGGAAGTCGTCTCTAACAACCAACTGTAGAACAGGACCAGACAAGCCCCAATCTGCAGCCAATCTGGAGATCAATAACCGTTCTCACTTTACAACAAGAGCCAGATCTTCAACACCAACGTCAAGTCGGTCCTAATTTACGGCTCAGAAACCTGGTGGGTAACTAAGACCAACCCCCACAAACTTCAGGCATTTAACAACCGATGTCTCAGGAACATCCTTAATATCAGGTGGCCGGAAGTCGTCTCCAACAACAAACTGTGGGACAGAACCAGACAAACTTCAATCGAGATTGACATCAAGAAACAGAAATGGGGATGGATTGGCCGGACACTCGGCAAATCTGCTTCTGATATCCCCAGGCAGGCATGCCCTTGACTGGAATTCACTAGGGAAGCGAAAAATGGGCCGACCAAAACAGAATTGGCGCAGAAGTCTTGGCACAGAGGTGAAGACATGGGCCGTTTGAAGAAATTTTTAAAACCGCGTCCGTTGAGAGGTTTGTTGCGGCCCTTAATTCGTTTAACAAAATTAAGAACCATAGGAGTAGTATAAGTGGCACTTGAGTCTTGCTATTTGGACTAACATTAGTAAACAAAAAATCTTGTTTTGCTGGTTTCAGGTTCTAAGATGCAAACTAAATTCAACACGAACTTTATTGATAAATAAATTCAAAATGATAGGGTATGAACATATTTCATTCACGAAATATCCCATTATTTTCAATGTCATGCATGGCACGTCTCCGTGGTGTAATGGTTAACGAGCTTGTCTCGCTAGATCAATTATGACTGACCTGTGGGTTCAAGACTAACAAGGTGTTCTCTATATTCGTTCTTGCGCAGCAACTAAGCTATGCTTAGTAAATCGTCATAAATTTTAATGCCATGACCCTCCAGGACGTTGATCATGACTCTCCACATGGTCCTTTTCTTTAATTGGAGGTTTTTCATTGCCTTCCCCATAATTTTAAATTCAGCATTTTCCTTCACTTCGACTGGTACCCAACCAAATGCAAGGGTCTCAATCTACCGTGGCATTTAAACCTTAACCCTTAGCCAGAATAATTTAAAGAAACGGTGGAAGTTTATAAAAACAAAGAGCAAGAATAATTTGGGATGAGAAATGAAAAAAAAAGAAAAAGAAAAAGAAGAATGAAAATCTGGGAAGAAGAAAAAGAGATAGATAGATAGATAGATAGATAGATAGAGAGAGAGAGAGAGAGAGAGAGAGAAGAAATGAAAAAAGGAAAGGAAATGAAAAAAAAAAAAAGAATTTAACCAATTTCAAATCCAGAGAGAGAGAGAGAGAGAGAGAAGAGAGAGAGAGAAATAAATAAATAAGAAAATTAAAATAGAAAAAAAAAAAAGAAAAAAAGGGGGAGAAGAAAAAGAGAGAGTGTTGGGGGAAAGAGAAAACTGAAAAAAGAAAATGATTAAAAAAAGAAAAATAAAACCCTGGGAAGAAGAAGAAGAAGAAGAAGAAGAAGAAGAAGAAGAAGAAGAAGAAGAAGAAGAGAGAGAGAGAGAGATAATGAAAACAGGAAATAGAGAATGAAACCCTGGGAAGAAGAAGAAAGCGAGTGGGAGAGAAAGAAACCAAAAGAGAGAGAGATAGAGAAAGCGACAGAGGGAGAAATAAAAAGAAATGGAAAAAAGAAAATGAAGAATGAATCCCTGGAATGAAGAAGAAAGAAATAGAAGAGAAAAAAGTGTGAGAGAGAAATGAAAAAAGAAGATGAAAAAAAAAGAAAATTGAGATTGAAACACTGAGAAGAAGAAGAAGAAGAAGAAGAAGAAGAAGAAGAAGAAGAAGAAGAAAGAGAGAGAAAGTGTGTGTGTGTGTGAGAGACAGAGACAGAGATAGATAGATAGAGAGAAATGAAAACGGAAAATGAATAAAAAAAAGAAAATGTAGAATGAAACCCTAGGAAGAAGAAAGAAAGAGAAAGAAAGTGTGTGTATGTGTGTGTGTGTGTGTGTGTGTGCGTGTGTGTGTGTGTGTGTGTGTGAGAGAGAGAGAGAGGGAGAGAGAGAGAGTGAGTGAAATAAAAAATGAAAATGAATGGAAAAAAAGAACATTATTTACATTATTCAGACTATTGTCCTCATCTTTGTCGCCATATTTATTACACCGTTTCGGCCGTTGTACGCTCCGGCCTTCTACAGATGGTTGGAATGTCGAACTGAACTCTTTATTTCGCTCACTGGGGTAGACTATTCTAGTTCCACGTGCCATGTTTAATGGATGTCACTTATCAGTTATCTTCTATTAATTTCCTTCCGAAAGTTCTCCACTGCCTTAACCAGGTATTGAACTCACACTCTTTGGGTCCTGTCACTGGATCTAACTACCCCAGTGAGCGAAATAAAGAGTTCAGTTCGACATTCCATCCACCTGAAGAAGGCCGAAACGTTGTAATAAATATGGTGACAAAGATGAGGACAATAGTCCAAATAATGTAAATAATGTACATAATACCTCATCTCAGAAATATAGACAGATACTGAAAGGCCGAAACGTTGTAATAAATATGGCGACAAAGACGAGGACAATAATCCGAATAATGTAAATAGTGTACATAATACCTCATCTCAGAAATATAGACAGATACTGGAAAAAGAAAAGAAAATGAAGAATGAAAACTTGGGAAGAAGAAGAAAGAGAGAAAAAAGTGAGAAAGCGAGAGAGAAAGAAAAAATGAGAAAGCGAGCAAGAGAGAAATGAAAAAATATAAATTATTAGAAAGAATAAAGAATAAAATCATTATATTTATTTTACAATGATGATCACCCTGTACAAGGCCCAAGAGCCACTCGAGGTAGAGGGTTACAAAGTAAGTGTCACAGATGGAGATATTTGGACAAGATAGCGGTTAACCATAGCCTTGAACAGGTTAAGATTGTAGTGATCGAGGAAGCATCCTCTTGGTAGACGTTTCCACAAAGCAGCGGTTCGTGGGAAGAAGCTGCTCGATTGAAACTTATGTCCCACCAATGGAATACGAAGGGGATGAGGATTATTCGTTACAATGCGTGCCGAATCTTAGCCGTGAAGGTCAGAACTGGTGGAACTAAAGAATGTAATTCGTCAGAGCACTTTCCATGGAAACAGCGATACAACAACGAGAGGCTTGCGACATTTCGACTGGGAGAAAGGGGCTGCAGAGTGGAAGATAATTCGTTACCCACAGGGACGCGGAGACGCTTTGAGACTCTATCGCGACTGGAAATTAAAGACTGTGCTGTCTCTGTCCATATATGGGAACAATATTTCATTTTTGGCTTGATCTGGCACTTATAAAAATAAGGATAGATAGTAGAAGGAGTCAGGTTCTTACTGCAGCGGTACAAGGAACCGACCCTTTTTCCAGCATCTTTAGCGATGGCTCGTATGTAAGAGTTCCACTTAAGATCTAAGTTGAGTTTGTCTCAATAGGGACCGAAAACTCGGCGTCTACCTGAGTGTATACCTGTTCATCTCGGGCTCCGCAGCGAGATGATGGAACGTCCCCAGTAAAGAAGGAACGCAATAAAAAGTGGGGAAGAAGAGACGATGAAAATGAAAGAGAAAATGAAGTATTAAAGCGAAAAACATGAGATGGGAGAACGAAAGCCTCCGCCGAAAACAGAAATCCATATCTGGGATTGTGTAAATCACTAACACTCGCTCAGGTAAGTTTTTGTTTGTCCCGTGTTTCTTTCAAATCAACCTGCCATGACATTTGCTGCAATGATTCTATTTGGCGATTCATCCATTTTAGATTAATTCACGTATATTTTCATTTTGTTGCGTGTCATCAGTTCATCTTCCTACACCTAATTTTCTCACTCTCTTCTTTCTTTCTTTCTTTCTTTCTTTCTTTCTTGACGCATCATAGTCTTTAGTCCTTTCTTTCATTCTTTCGTTCATTTATTTTTTTCTTTCTCCCATCTCTTTCTTTCTTTCTTTCTTGACGCATCATAGTCTCTAGTTCTTTATTTCATTCTTTCGTTCATTTGTTCTTTCTTTCTCCTATCTCTTTCTTTCTTTATTTCTTGACGCATCATAGTCTTTCTTTTTTTTTCTTTTTTGACACTTTATAGTCTCCTTTTCTTTCTTTCTTCCATCTTTTTTTGACAAATCATAGTCCTTCTTTCTTTCTTTCTTCTAAACAACTTCTTTTTTCATTGCACCTTTTTCTTATTTTCTTTCTTTTTTCCTTTCTTTCTTGACACATCAGTCTTTCTTTTTTTTCTTTCTTTCTTGACACATCATATTCATTCTTTCTTTCTTTTTTGACACTTCATAGTTTGCATTTTTTCTTTCTTCCATCTCTTTTTTTTGAAAAATCATAGTCATTCTTTCTTTCTTTTTTCACAAATCATAGTTTCTCTTTCTTTCTTCGCAACTTCTTTCTTTCTTCGTCACCCCTTTCTCTCATTATTTTCTTCTTCCATTTCTTCTTCACTCCTTCATTATTTCTTCAATTGCGTCCTCTTTCTTCTCTGCCTTTTCTTTTCCATTTCTTTTTCCTTCTTTCTTTCGTTCCTTCCTTTTCTTTTTCCATTTCTTCTTCTTTCTTTCCTTTAATTTCTTTCTCCTTGCCATCCTCCTCCTCCTCTTCCTTCTTCTTCTTCTTCTTCTTCTTTCCTTCCGTCTTTTTCTTTGTCTATTTCTTATTCTTTCTCTCCTTCATTTTCTTCCATTTATTCTTCTTCTGTTCCTTCAATTTCTTCTTCAATTGATTCTTCTTTCTTCTCGTCTTTTTCTTTTCCATTCCTTCCTTCCTTCCTTCCTTCCTTCCTTCCTTCCTTCCTTTTCTTTTTCTGTTTCTTCTTTCTTTTCTTCAATTTCCTCTTCTTTTCTTCCTTCATTTTTCTATTTTTCTTCTTTGCTTTCTTCTTTGTCTTTATTTTCTCTTACGTTTTTTTCTCAGTTTATTTTCCTTTCTGTTACTCTCTCTTTTGACCTTTCCTGGTTGCCCTTTCTTTCCGAATTTTAAATTCATTCTGGTGTGGCGTTTCTATTTGTGCTAATTCACTTTAGCAACCAATCTATTTTGGGTTTAATCATTCTTTCATCTTTTCTCGCTCTAATCATCTTTTTTTTTATAGTTTTTATTAACATTATTATTTCTTTTTATTTCCTTCTGTTTGAATGTTCACAAGAGATATCACTTGGTGATAGCCAACTACTATCAGCTTCAGGACGTATAAAATCATGGCTCTCCACAACTTCTTATACATTCTAGGTCTTAGTAAGGTTTTTTTTCCTACATCGTTCCTAGGCTATGCTCTGGCATTCATTTATAAAAGCCCGTTAGATAGATTACTCGGTGTTTCCTTCTGCTCTTCTTGTCAATATAGCCTTTGAGTGTCAAATTTTCCAAGCATTCTTTCATCATTATATCTCCCAGATGTTTCAAATGACTCTTTCTGTATCTCAGTAGAAGTATCCGTTTTCATTTTCCTTACAACTTCTCCATTGTTTACGTTTTCCGTCCATAGTATTCTCAGCATCCTACTGTAGAACCACCTCTCAAGTCGCCTCCGTGAAGAAATTGTCCAGAATTAACTGCCAAATATGAGAATTGATATCACATAGCAGTTGAGCAACCTTTTCTTTTTTTTTTTAAACGGCATTTTCCTGTTTCTTAATACATTACTTAGCTTTTGGATGACATCTTTTGCTGTTGCAATGTGCCTTCGGGTTTCTGTGTCACATTTTCCGTCCGTGCATCTTCTTAAATCTCTAATACCTTAAACATTATTCACACAGAACTCAGAAATTTTTCTACTCATTGAACGTCTATTGGAGTGTTCTTGGCTCGTTTCTAAGTGCGCTTGCTATTATGGGCACGACTGCAGCCTTCATATCCCACATTTTGGTTCGACTACAGAAAAACCAATATACAACTTGAATAATAATAATAATAATAATAATAATAATAATAATAATATTAGTTTCCTTTGGTTTCTGTTGTATAAACATTTCCTTCTAGTTCAGAATGGCTTAATGAAATTTTCCACTGATCAAAAACAAAGATCACACATATTTTACATAGATAATCTCTTCATAATATGCGAGCTGTACCTGTGGGTACAATCTTTTGTATTATTTTTAGGTATGTCCTACTAGGAATCCCTCTATGAGTCTATCAGAACCTTTTCTAACCAATCCGAGTGTTCGAACTACAACTGGAATTATTGATGTTCTCATGTGCCACACTTTTAAGATTTCCACTTCAAGATCCTTGTATTTTGATACTTTCTGAAGATCTTCAAAGATCCATTAAAATCTGCAGGGACCGCCTTGTCACTAAGAAAGCACATTCTGTTTTCATGGTCTTTGATCACGATGTCAGGGTGATTAGTTTTGATTGTTCTGTCTGTGTGTATTGTAAAGTTCCATAAAATTATTACAGGTCCTATCTCTGTAACCGGGTTTGGGGGGTGTTCATACCATTTTCTTGCAGGTTCCTTCCCGTAAAAGTTGCATATTTTCCAGTGCAAATATTGGCCCACTCTATCATTCCGTGACTTATGTTCAATAGGTGCTAACACAGTGCAACCTAATACAAGATGATTAATTGTTTCTGGATATTTATCACAGAATCTGCATTTCAGGTCAACACAATTTTTCAGTATCTGTGAAAGTTATCAAGAACTGGTCATGTTGCAGAATTAAAATTATTATTAATAATATTATTTTATTTCCTTTGATTTCTGTTGTATAATCATTTCATTCCGGATCCCCCAAAAGAATTAAGGTAAAAAATAGCATCATGACATTTTTCCACTGAGCAGTTTTAAAAATCAAAATCACATATTTTACATAAATAAAGCCCTTTGTAATGTGTGGTCTGTCCTTGATAAACATTTTTTTTGTATTTCTTTAAAGTATTGGCTACTAGGAACTCCTTCAATGAATCTACTGGAATCTTTTTTTGTTTCTAACTGGAATTGATATGTGCCCTCATATGATCATTTTGAGATTTTAAGGTCTTTGTATTTTTAATAGTTTTTGAAGATCTACAAAGATACATTGCAGTCTGCAAGGACTGTCATGTCAATAAGGAAGCACATTCTGTTTTCGTGGTCTTTTTTCACAATGCCTGAGCGATTAGATTTGATTGTTCTGTGTGCATTGTAAAGTTCCATAAAATTGTTATAAGTCTTATATTTCTAACTGAGTTTGGGTGATGTTCATACAATTTTCTTGCAGTTTCCTTCTCGTAACAGTTGCATGTTTTCCAGTGCAGATATTGGCTCACACTATCATTCCGTGACTTATGTTCAAAAGGTGCAATCTGATACAAGATGATTAATTGTTTCTGGATATTTAACACAGAATCTGCATTTCAGGTCAACACAATTTTTCAGTATCTGTGCTTAGTAATTTCTAGTTAGCAAGAATTAGTCTTGTGCAGCAAGAATAAAATATTATTATTTTAATTCTTTTTATTTCTGGCGTGTCTTCATTTCTTTCCGGGTCCCGACCAGAGACCTAAGGTTAGAAATGGCATCATGAAATTTTCCACTGAACAGTTTCAAAAAAAATATCACGCATATTTTACAGAGATAAAACCCTTCGTAATGTGTGGGCTGTACTTGTGAGCACAATTTTTTTTTATATTGGAGTCTATTCCAATGAATTCGATGGCTCTAACTACAACAGGGATTGTTGATGTTCTCATGTGCCACATTTTTGAGATTTCAAGGAATCTTGTATTTTGGTATTCTCTTGGAGATCTTCAATGATATATTGCAATCTACAGGAACTGTC